CGCCAATTCTTATGGGGCAAAAATTGGAAAAATTTTGTGACTGGCTAAATTCAGAAGCGTAACATTTGACAAAAAGTGAAATTATTTGGAACTTGTTATATGAGTAAAAGCACCACAGGACACAGCGCAACAAGTTTTGTGCAAAATATATACAAACATTACTTCAAGAAGGACAACGAGACGTGCAATAGCTGTTTCATTCTTCGGTGTATTTCGAGCAAAATACGAGGCTACTTCGGTTACTGTTTCAGCAGAAATCAACGAAATCTGAAATTCACATATGACAAAGTGTAACAGAATAAACAAATCGATTAAATCTAGAAAAAAAGAAAAATCAGTTTAATGGCGACAAAACTATCATAACAGAGTTATAGTATAATATTGTATTGTGAAGTTAAAGGGTTAATATGGGATGTTAGGTGAACAACAACGAAGGTATTATGAATAAATAACAAAAAAATGAAGAAACTAAAGTAATTAGAAACCTCAACTTTTTCGTAGGTTATATCTCAAAACAACGGATGGACATAGCCATTTTGAATACTTTTACTTACATGTAAAGGGGTGGATAAGATTTTACTAGGCGAGATGGGTAAAATATTTATGAATTTTGTCTTCTAAGGAAGTGCATTCATAAAATTTAATTTCCATTAATGCTATTTGCTTTTCTGAAACAAACAGTAACTTTCCTACGTGTAAAAGAAAAGTAAGTGCCATTTGTTACCTCTTGCCCAAAATCTGACTTCAAGCCATGTCGAAGACATTCAATAATTGAAATAAATAATGCCTCCGGTAAACTTTCAAGAGATTGTGGTGTCATTTCAGTGAAGTATAAGATGAAGCGATAAAATCTGAAATGAATACTGGCTGTCAAAACTCAAAAGTTTTATTCTGAAGAGCAGTATTACAACCTTTAGCTCACACACTCACTACCAAATCCTCTATTTTTTTCGTAATTGAAGAACAGTTACAAACATAAACAAAATTTACTTCCGACATAATGAAGGTAATTTGAGCAGATCGTCTTCCATAATAGGCAACAACATCTCCAAAGAAATTAGTGCAACGCGAGAGCCACTTTTTGTAAATTCCATTGTATCTGAATTACCAAAACGATAATAGGAAGTTTCAAATAGAAATTATTCGAATACCCATCCTTTTATCAAAAAGTCCAATTAAATTCATGGATAAGTCAAATTAAAAAACTATTCTAATCAAAACTGAAGTTTGCAATGTTTTCTGTACCAAAGTCCATCCCGAACTTCATAGAATTTTAAGAACAAAAGTGGAACTAAGGAAAAACTGAACATTTTTCAACCAAATTTCAGGCATAACAAAAAGAAAAAGGACCAACCAGATGAAGATGAAGATGAAGGAATGACTGATAGAACATCTTTGCTCAAAACATTGGCAAGAATATCCAATAGTATAATTAAATCGGATGCCTTCTCTTCAACATCAACGTTAATTACTTTGTACCGTGTAAACTGCCCATCCCGATACACCCTAATAAGTTCTAGCAATGCCTATAAAAAATTAGATTTTGTATGCTTCAAGACTACAACCCGACCATGAATATGGGCCAGAAACTTCAAGCAAATCAAGAAGACTGGACGATGTGATAGCAGGTTGGAACTTAACAATTTAGATTCGCTGAGACTTTAACTAATGATTAAATTAAACAAAATAACTTGCCAGTCGATTCAAAAATCTCTTTCAAAAACCTTCCACTAGTGACCGAAGACTTATTGCACTGACGGGGACACGGGATGGTATGAAAATCCACAAATATACCTCATAGAGGAAAATCATATCATTACGATCCTCACTGTAGACACCCATACGTCTTGTGACATTGTTGAACAGATCCAGAATTGCATTGGTAAGAAGCTGAGATTCTTTGTGTGACGATAATAAACCAATTGAACATGTCAAAACTGGTGATAAATATTCTGGAAAATAGGTGCTTCAGACTATTACAACCAAATTTAGCTTTTTAAAATTCGAATTTTCGACTAGTTTTCGTCAATTTACTAAATAAATACAAATATTTGGATTTAAATCTGAATATACCAAATAAGAAATGAGTGTTATAATTATGAGCAGCTTCAGCCAGACCACCGAAACAATCCATTAAGTCAACGAGATCTGTTTCTCGACTTGTTTGTTCCCTAGACAGTAACGTAAATCTTTCACGAAGTGGTTGCAATACCTGTAATACAATCATGATGAAGCAATACAAACAAAATGGTTGCTTCGACGAACTATTTTTTCTTTTTGAACTTCATTTGGAAAAAATGACATTTCAAGTAAAATTTAGTTCTTCCTTCCAACAAATAAAGAAAATGAATTTGCGAATATTTGAATGGATTCTAAAGTTTATGCTCCAGTTTACAAATGGTCTAAATAATTTTTAGCAATCAGAAACAATTAGAAATGAGGATTAATTCAACATAACATCATTTGTAGTGCCATACCGGAAGTGAAATTACCCATCCAATACAATAATATATAAAGTCATCAACAAAATCAAAAATAAATAATCTAAACTGACATTCTGAAATCCTAATAAAAACCTCTGTGTAGCCTCATTTCATGGAACACTATCAAAATGTTTCAATGAAACATGCTAGCTTTAATTAGAAGAAAGCAAAATCAGCCAATACTAACGTGCGACAATAAAATCTGATCTAATGAAATAAAAATAATACAATTGCACAATGTCATTGTATCTGTAAATGTGGCCGAATAACTTCATGAAGCAATGAAAAATGTAGCAAAACAGATTAATTTATTAAACCAACCATTTCATATAAAGTTTTCGTTATATTTTCATCATTGGCCATGGCACCAATTTGCACTAAGACTTTGATGAACGAATGACGAGCTGGTAATCGCTCAATTTGCACCAGTGAAAGACATGGAAAAAGGAGAGGACTTTTTGCCGCTTCACTACACCCGGTACGCACCAAGCCAACAAACACTTCCACAGCATCCATACACAGCCTATAATTGAACAAACACAATATAAGTAGAGTAAAGCATGCATGAGTCATAGGAGAAATCAACATTGCGTAATCTTTTCAGTAACAGCGCAGTTACACAAAAAATTGAAGAATATTCCGGTTATTTAATTTGCGGCAAAACTGTGGATGGTTGATTCCGAATTTAATGGACAATTAGATTGAAATATTTCATCTTTCATATTATGTGCCAAAATCACCTAACCAGTATTATTTCCGCACCACGATAAACACTATAGTCCAACTACCTACTAATCTCATTTAAAGCAAAAAAAAGGAAAAGAAAAAGTGAAAACAAACTTGCGTTCTCCTGAAAGATTGTTTATTATGCCGAAAGATTTCTGCAAAGCAAAGTCGACCATAGTTTGCAAAACACTTTCTATTACAGCTGCCAATCTCTCACTGTCCTCAGGATTCATAGAGTGAAAACCTAAAGAGCATATCAAACGTCCCATACACCATAGTGACGAACGTGCTAGTTCTGGACTAATTGCTTCTGCACCACGATCCATCAATAGTTTATGTTCGATGGAACACCAAGCCAAAACAGCACCTATTAGTCTGGAAGCAATTGTATTCTAAACGTTATTCGTACAGTTAAAATTGAACAATTTAACAATGATTCCCAAAGGAAGCAAAATCTGTCATTTTTAAAAATGGCTAATATTGATTCAAAAACCATAAAAACCATTTTTTTTTTCAAAAACCATAAAAACCATTTAAAAACTGTTCAAAATTTGTTTAACCTTAGAAATTTTATCCTGCAGTATACAGTGATAGTAAGCAAAGTAACTGCTATCGTTGCATACTGCTCGTCTCCATAAAACTTATGGACCATTATATTTTATGTACTTCGACATTTCCCGAACTAATACTTACTTTGTAATAGGATCTACTCGTGCAGGATCAGTAATCGTATTTGGTGAATCAATGCAAGCTTTGATATATGGTACAGAAGAATCGATATCTACAACGTTACCATATGAATCATTTTCAAAATGCTCCAAGATATCGCTTTGCAAATGTGAACTACCATCGTCATCACTCGATGTTAACATAAAGCCTGGAAAGATTTCCAGATATATTTCTTAGCTTTTATTCTTCTAAATGATTACTGTACATTCAGGCTATCTCTAGATCGACTGAAAAAAAGTGCGCAACAAGATATATATAATTCAGTCATCAGTGTTCATTTCATCTTATTACTCATATATAACTGAGCTTACAAGTACAGTGCTGAACTGTTCCCTTTGATTTATGCAAGCTTTATAACTTCAGTGATTTTGTTTCGATAACAGAAAAAAGTTTCAAGTCAAGACCAACATAAACTCACCAGTTAGCAGCAGAGTCCAATGCATATCCTCGCGCCACGTATTCAATGTTTCATCGCCTACACCCATTTCGATAAAGGACAAAAACTGCTTCAACTTGTCAAAAAGAACTCTGTAAAGAAAAATAAAACAAAAAAAAAAGGGAAAATAATTCCCTGCGCCAAAAGGTTACACATACAAAAGTAAGCAAGTCAATATAAACCACATTTCCATGTTGAGGAAAAGTGATTATCATTGACGTCGCATGTTTTATAGCACTCCTTTTTTGAAAAATTCTGAAATACTACATCTAACTGATAAATTCATAAGTGCAAAACAGCAAACTTGTATTCAATATTCAAAAGATTCAAAAAAATTCCAGCGATAAATTTTAAAAAAGAAAGCAAGTAAGCTTACGTAAACATCCGGGGTAACATTTGGGAGGAATAAAAAGCAGAAAAGTGACCGATAGAGTTCAACAATTCTTTGAATATTTCACGATCATCATCAATTTCATCGTCACATTCTTGGACTGGAACCTGGAAAGTAATTTAAATGAAATCCATACAAACTGAACAAACTAATATCGATTCCATTTTTCAGTGAGAGTTCATTTGCGTAGCAATTTACTTACTAACATGAATATAAAAACTGTTCAAATGTGAAATATTTTGCAGTTTTAGACCAATACATAATTCATCATCAAATATTTGCTGATATTTTTATCGGATTAAGCCAGTTCAACATTCTCTCCTGTAGTTCGTTCAAGTAGCTATGTAACGTGGAAAACGTAAAACAAAACAATGTTAAACCCAAAGAAAAGAATGCAAATGGTAGCCAATACCTTTACGCGACAACCATACGGTTCCGACAGAACGGCTCGCATAAATGCTGAAATGATCGTTAAGGTTGATTCTTCAAAATTGACAGGATAACGGGAAGTATTTCGGATAATATCGCTGTTGCGAAGCATCACCCACCAACCATCGTATAAACTTTGCAAACTCTCAAGGTAAACATGATCATCTTCTTCCTTGAAAAATTAAATTTATTGATAAATTAATCAAAATGTTAACAAATTGCTTAGTTATATTGATTGAATAAATAATTAGTAATTAATCCTATAATGAGCTATGTCAGGAATGAAATAATCTGATCGGGCGAATTTGATGGATGCACTTGAAACGCAGTTTCTTGAAGAATAAGAACACCAAAGGAATTTAAGAATTTTCCTCATCTTTTCTATTTAAATCTCAAATGTAATTTGAAAAGTTAAGAAATGAAAATTTTATGGATCGCATGAATCTTTTTAAATTTTATAAACAAACGGTCAAGTGCGTCTCACCAAAGCTTTCTGCATAGCAACCGCAGTCAGATGCTCCGCACACTGTACGACAATGTTTACAAATGTTACAAATGACATTTCGGCTCGAGGAAAAGAAAGAATTCGATGATATGTCAGCAACTTATGCACAATTAAGCAAAGGCCGAGTATCTCTCCTTCCAATGGGCCACTGAAAACTAAAAACCTTAAAATTGGAAATTTTATTTGAACCGTGAAAACCGCTCATAAATACGCAGAAAAACGATTTTATAATTGTCTCAATTATTCCACATACTTTTTCTCAGCATTTCTTATGTTGCCTAATTCAGGGAGATATATGCAATAGACAAAAAGAAAATCCAACTTCCGTGCTATTCAACAGCCGATTAACAAGTCAGATTTAGACCGGTGAAAGCAAATAAAGCTTTATCTATTCTCTTTGTAAGATTTGGAATGATATTTCTCAAGTAATAAGTGATAAGCTATGGTAGTTTGCCTATTTCATGCTAATCCACGTATAATTAGAAGCTTTACATTCACAAAAAATATTTTGAGGAAAAGAAACAGGCTTCGCAAGTATAACTTTGGCAAAAAATACCTTCCAAAAATATCCACAAAACCAGCGATGAAATTTGATACATATCGATCATGAGCATTAGCAAAATTTGAAGCATTGGATGAAGATAATTTTTGGGTGGTAACTGATTCACTATCAGTTAGAACAGGTCCCATCAATGAAGATAACTGAATAAGGCAATTCATTGAGTGTATACAAAGCATTTCACTGTGACGGACTCGCTTGTGTACCTGAAAAATTATCCATGATTAATTATATGGATACCTTACTGACTTGCCATTCAAAAATAACTGTTGTACTTTTGGTAAAATATGAATATTTCCAAAATTCCAGGCTGAGAATATATCATGCTATCACAAATATATTGTGATGGATATTATTCAGATTTTTACAGTTTTATCTGAAACTCAGTGTTTGCTATTCCCTAGAAGAATATAACATTATATGCAAACTTCAAAGAAAAGGCGCAAAAATTCATCCGACTGAAATATTGTTTTCCATGATTCAGGAGGACGTAGTGCTGCAGCGGGTGCTCCTTCATTTGCAAAAGTGATTCGAACCGGAAAACGATGAATCTCGAAATTCCAGGAAAGAACTAAGTCAGCTACTCGAAGAAAATTTTCGCATATACTCACCTGAAGAGCAATACTAGAAACTGTACGATTTTTGCATAAAATTTCAAAGAACTGTGAAATCTCATGCAACGACCAACGTTCCGAGATCATAGTGTCTAATAAAATATCAAAACTATGATCTTCTGGTTTGTTAGTTTATTCACATTGAAATAATGAAGATGAAGATCTTCTCAAGCATAAAAGATTTCGTTAGTAAAAAGTTATGGCAAATGTAACTCTCAAAAACTGCTAAAAATAACCCGACACTTAGCCTTAGGTTATCAAAATTATCAGGATAATGAAAGCTTCCATCTATTCCAGGTAGGATTTATTGCTTCCGCTACTGTTAGTAAAATATTATTTTTTCTCGATATCGTTCCCACTGTAGTTAGCAATCATTATTTCGATATCGCTCCCACTGTAGTTAGCAATGGCGAGCAATAATAGCTTGAATAATTCCTGTTGGTCGCTATGCTTCATATCTTGAGGAAGATTAGTAAAAAAAACGAGATACGTACATAATATGGTAATGAGAGATCAGCAGTGAACAGAAGTTCAGAAAAAGTACGTATACACTTTTCGAATAGTCGCTGTAAGCCTCCATTCTAAAATATTTGATGTTTACGATTTAATAATTTATATCTAATGAGGCAGCAACCTCACTAATTAAATCAGCACAATTACTTATGCCCATTCAAATAATTTACATAGCCACAGCTGAAAGTTGCTATTCGTACTCCTTTTATCCGCATTCCTATTGTACTCCTTTTATTCGCATCCCACCGTATTTCTTTCATTCGTATTCCTATTTCTATTCTTTATCTGCCCTCCTTGTTTCAACAGTTCCAACAGTCCCGAAAAAAACCGGAAAACTTTTAAAATTTGACTTTAAAAAGTGAGAAAGCACAACTCAAAAATTTTAGTTTTTTTAATGCAAATGAATAAGAGTAAATAAAACCTCGAACGAACGCCTGGCCCTGACATGGAAATCAAAACTGATGCCGAGATTGGACGTCCTCCACGATGTTGCAAATTCACTGGCAATTGCTTCGATGAACTCACACGCAATCGCTTGCTAAAAAAAACTAAAATTAAAGAAATATGTCAACTTAGTGTTATCCTAAAATTGGATTTCAACTAAATCTGCAAAAAGAACCTAGCAAAGCCGGCACTTTCCTCAAATAGCAAAAATGTGTTACTTCCTATTTGTAGTATTTTCATCTCTTGAAAAGTGAATGACGTGTGAAAATTTATGAATAAGTATATCCAATGCCATAAACATCATAATTGTAAACAATGAATCCATTTAATTAAAAGAACAAACATATTTACAAGTTGTGGATCTTCGTTAGTCAACAGGAAATGAACAGTTTGGTCCAGTGTATCGGCATCACACGCTTTATCATCAAAAATAGATCGTTTTAATAACTTCGCACATGCCCTTAGCATTTCGGTTCGAATCAACTTTGAAGCCCTGTTGACAGTGAAGTTCCATTTCATCAAATATTCAAGTGAAATGAGTGATATTTCATCAAATATTCAAGTGAAATTCAAGTTAAATAATGTTTGTATAAGCTGATTAAGTATTTAAATAATAATTTGAAGTGTCAAGTAATATTCGAAAATTCCAGTTGACTGAAGTGAAAATATCATGGTTGATTTTTAAAAACATTTTACCTGAATTTATGGACGGTATTTTCTAAAAAATATTCGAAGCATTGCTTAAAAATCTGTGGTTCCAAAATGGACCACTGTTTGAAAAGATTCATAACTAAAAGTTGAACCATTTCAAAAGTGACAAATTCATTGGATGTTGCTTCTGAAAACAATGACAATCGATTCATATGAAAAATGCTGCTTCATGCCCAAAAAATATATAAGTGGATAATAAAAAGAACTCGAGCAAATATGATTTGTTGACGACTTGCAGGAATTTTGCTAACTAACAGAACAGTCAGAAATCGAAAATGAAATGAAAAAGAAATAGCAAGAAGCCGAAATTAGCTGATATTAGAAAACATAAAAACCAATGACTAGACGACAATATTCTGGAGAAAATTTCCCGTTACGAATATTGATAAAAAATTCTTCAGCAGCTTTTCGAGCATCATGCGAAATATTCGGTGACTGAAAAATTCTAAGTCTTAAATACAGTTAAATATCTCTTACTGTATTAAACCAAAAAGATGCGGAATTAGCTCAATCAAGCATCATAAATATAAGTACAAATATAATAAATCAATCTGCAACATTTACTTTGAAGAAATCTGAAAATAATTAAACATTTGATCACAAAATTTTTATTGAAACTTCAACGACCCCTGGACGAATGACTGCATGTGTAATTCGAATTTGGTGAAGTATATAGTCACTTGAGGACCACTTGAATCTGACCGCATACTCCTAACCCAATCACCACTTTACTGTGAAGTAAACCCTCCTAAGCGTCAGTTAAAAGACTGGACCGTTGTTTTTCCAGTTAAGACTAATTTTAAAGTTAGGAACAAACCATAAGTATATTTGCTGCTTCTTCCATTTGTGCCACATGGCTTGGATCGAAACCAGCTTGATTACTAGTCGTTCCTTCCATGTAGAATGCTCGTTAATGACAATACAAATCCATTTACGATACAATCCAGGGAAAATTGAACAGCAGTGTTCTATGTTAACCTAATGTTCCTTTAAAGCAATTAACAAAGAGTAACATATCAAGTGTGTTCGCTGCGAATTTTCAACTTTTCCCAGAACTATCATACTTTCCATCCGGATATGTTCCACAGCATAGAACACAGACATAACCCTTACCAATTTTACCATATATTCCATTTATTGAGCTAAGAATTTTTCCGATATTAATGCAATGATGACATGACAAGTACAGCGGGAATTATCAAATCAGTGTTGGCATATTACCATTTTTCCATGCGAAAATCACACTTTTAGTTGCATTTTTTACTAACCTCTGCACTGCTGCTATTTATCCATCCAGACCCACTCTCAACAATATCAGAACCGAAATATCTTAAAAACTACCACACACACTTAAAGAACAATAACAGCAGGAATTACAAAATCCATATACTAGCTGGTTAAGCCAGAGCAACACTGTCAATAATACATTAAATTAAATTTTATAAAACATCCTATCAAAACATGCACATCCATATTGGAATCCTTAATTATCCAGCTTATGAAATAAACCTATGACATATATATTAACTTCAAACGCATGCAGCTCCAGATATAATTTCGATCAATTCGCGTGTGATAACCGATTGTCGTGTTCGATTGAACGACATCGTTAATTTATCAATCATTTCACCTGTAATTTCCATTTCATGAAATCCCGAAATGTTGTTTATATTTTTTCGTTTGCGACTATGACAATATTGGACGGATCAAACACATGTTCGATCAGTTGCAATTTAAAATCTCCTGCAAATGCTTAGCCAATCAGTGTACAACTTTGCTTTATTGATTAAGCACAAATCCCTTCTTCCAATGTTAGTGAAATGACAATAACGAAACCGAGCTACCAGTTATAAGTTATGAGTTACTACGATAAAGTTGTGCGGTAAACTGATGCTGGGGATAGAAACGAAATGAAAACTTCTATGTAACATTGATCTCACGATAGCCCCTTGATCAACCACAAATCTATACAGTATTCAGTAAAATCTGATTTGAATACTATTATCAAAAGAAAGCACGCACTCAGATTCTAGAAGGAGCAAAGATTAAACTGCAAGCTTTAATTTAATTTTTAAAATATTTTTCTGAAATAACTTTGTAAAATCTACAAGCTATCCCAACATACCAGCATTCTTGCTTGCTGAATCCATGGCAGTCATTCGGGAACTTTGTTCAGATGCAGCAGATTCTTTCAGAGCATAATAGAGCAGTTGAGCTAACGAGTAATTAGCATAATCGTTTAGCACACTGTCATCGATCGAGTCATACATTG